ATATACATTATTATACAGCAATATACATTAAAATACAGCAATATACGTTATTATACAGTAATATAGCATTATTATACAGATATATGCATTATTATACAGTAATATATATTATTATACAGTAATATACATTATTATACAGTAATATACATTATTATACAGTAATATACATTATTATACAGTAATATACTTTATTTTACAGAAAAATGCATTATTATACAGCAATGTACATTATTATACAGTAACATACATTATTATACAGTAATATACATTATTATACAGCAATATACATTATTATACAGATATATGCATTATTATACAGACATATGCATTATTATACAGAAAAATGCATTATTATACAGTAATATACATTATTATACAGAAAAATGCATTATTATACAGCAATGTACATTATTATATAGAAATATACATTAATATACAGCAATATACATTATTATACAGTAATATACATTATTATACAGCAATATACATTATTATACAGTAATATACATTATTATACAGTAATATACATTATTATACAGCAATATACATTATTATACAGATATATGCATTATTATACAGACATATGCATTATTATACAGAAAAATGCATTATTATACACCAATGTACATTATTATATAGAAATATACATTAATATACAGTAACATACATTATTATACAGTAACATACATTATTATACAGCAATATACATTATTATACAGTAATATACATTATTATACAGCATTATACATTATTATACAGTAATATACATTATTATACAGTAATATACATTATTATACAGTAATATACATTATTATACAGTAATATACATTATTATACAGTAACATACATTATTATACAGCAATATACATTATTAAACACTAATATACATTATTATACAGTAATATACATTATTATACATTATTATACAGTAATCTACATTATTATACAGTAATATACATTATTATACAGTAATCTACATTATTATACAGCATTATACATTATTATACAGCAATATACATTATTAAACAGTAATATACATTATTATACAGCAATATACATTATTATACAGTAATATACATTATTATACAGCAATATACATTATTATACAGTAATATACATTATTATACAGTAATATACATTATTATACTGCAATATACATTATTATACAGAAATATACATTATTATACACTAATATACATTTTTATACAGAAATATACATTATTATACAGATATATAGATTTTTATACAGAAATATACATTTTTATACAGAAATATACATGAGCTATTGAAATCAAACTAACGATTTCTCACCTGAGATAAGTATCTTTTCGAGACGTCTGCATGACGGAAATAAATTCCTACTTTATCAACACAAACAGCTGATGGTTTCTGCCAGCCGTCGATTTTTATTAACAGCTGGTTGTGATACATTTCATGAGTTTTCTGAAAATAAAATGTTAACATCAATATGTATACTGGGTATATTAAAATATTAAATGAGTGATGAAATACATCTTTATTTTTCACTATCTAACAATGATTATATTATATTTCATAGGTTTTCTCATAATTAAACATAGTTATGTAAGATTTATATGCCAGTGTTCCAGATTTAAGAAGTTCAACCAAAAACAATTATTAATAAAATCTTTGTTCTTCAAATCATTGCTTGTTAAGAGGTTTATCCAAGGACCAGCTGGTAGACAGGATCCTTGTGAACCTTATAGTTGTGTTAGTTGTAAAATCAGTGCCAAGTGGTTTCGTCAAGAACAAGCTTGTTGACAGGATCTCTGAGAACCTAAGCCCTAACTTACCTTATGTCTGGCCTTTTCTTTCCGAGTAAATTTAAACGGAACTTCCTGGTCGGGTAAAACATTGTTCCAGTTCTCAGCTCTAATGTTTCTGTCATCTAATTGTCGGGATTCATTCTGGCTACTGGAACAGAAAATAAAATCAAATTTGTTGCATAAAGGAATGTAGTGTAATATTTTGTTCCTCAAGATGGACCAAGTCATCCCCTGCACATTTTCAGAAGAACAGCCTGCTGAATCTGAATACATTTCATATCATTTTCATTTATTTTATTATCATCATATCATGATCAGAGTTACACCTTACTTTTCTCTTTCAGATTTACCTTACTTTTCTCTTTCAGATTTACATTACTTTTCTGTTTCAGATTTGGCTTCAAAAATTTAGGATCATGTAACTTTGAGTTTGTTATAGGATATTGGAATATATTAATTATTGACACCAACCTAGTAGGGGTGGTAGTAGCTGTAGTAAACTGTATTTTACAACCTGTCTTATTGATCAATTTATACGGTATAAACGGTGAACGACGTTTCGGTACTTGACCCCCGTTTTCACCATTTTCATTTTCCTCACTATAGATACAAAATAAAAAACAAAATTAAATTTTAATGGTAAAACACATTTCCTCATAATAAAGTAACTCAGATGATGTGCTCTCTGCAAAACAAAACCTGAAATTCAAAAGCCAAACGAAAGAATACCAAAGTCTCAAAGCCAGTCCGAAAATCCAGTGACAGGACAAAATCAGGTGTCCCAGAAAGAGTGAGTATTCTCTGCATTGTGCACGACACACACCAATATCTAGATAATCAGTTTCAATGTAGGGGAAATGAGACCGATAAAAATTGAATATTCCAGGAATAATATTAGTCACAAATTAGCAAATGGTGGTCTATACCCAACCTAAATGAAACATTACATACCAGGTTTGTTTGGTATAATCTTCTGTCCATGTTCCCTTCGTTTCGTTATATTGTTTTAACAGTGTACTGGTAATATTCAGGTTCAATACATCAGGGGCTACAAAATATATAAATTTCACTTCAAATTGACCTTGAATGTTACATTCCTTTTCTGAAGTTAAAAACACCTTGTTGAGTCCCATCAATTATCGGATATATTGTGTAGAAGAATTAACTTACATGAAACTTGAACTGCCAGTTTTTCTTTCGGTTCTGTGTATGATTTCCATTCAATATAACATCTGGAATATAATAAAAAAAAGTTTCACACTTCTGAGTAACAACAACAGGCTTTTTCGTTTCTGTTTTAATATTTCTATCATCTAGAATTTATATGAGACAATAACAGAGTAATGTGATATCTCAAAATATCTACAGAATTAATCATAACTCTTATAAATATCAAACAATCATTATCATTTTGTAACTTGTGTGTGGTATTTATACTCAAACTATAAAACTAAGAATTAATAGAGAATATTCTGAATTACTTATGTTATAGTAACGTCCTCTCGACTTTACCATCATTTGGTACAGTTAAAACTCAGCCAACCAAGCTGAAGTAATGTTCTAATATAAGAGATAGGGATTTTATAAAATATAACTTACGGCCAGGGTTCTAAGAATGGCTCCCATCCTGATAAGTTCCTGTTATAATAGGAACCTATAATATGTAACTTGGCTTTACCTTCAATATTGGGCTCCTGGTTTTGACTGATATCTATTCCTATAATAAAATAGAACAATTCTACCTCAATATTTATCATCATAAATAACTGAAATAAATATCTGTACTACTTTTCAAAAAGAGAATTATAAAAATGTATCTGTAGAGGGATTTCTAGCGTGCACGGAATGTTGTGTTTTGGGTCTTGGAATATTATAACCTTTAATTAATAGGTAATAAAACCCTTTCCCTCTCACTGACTAGATTAAACACCAACACTGATAACACTGATAACACTGATAACACTGATAACACTGATAACACTGATAACACTGATAACAATGATAACACTGATAACACTGATAACAATGATAACAATGATAACAATGATAACACTGATAACACTGATAACACTGATAACAATGATAACACTGATAACACTGATAACACTGATAACAATGATAACACTGATAACACTGATAACAATGATAACACTGATAACACTGATAACACTGATAACAATGATAACAATGATAACACTGATAACACTGATAACACTGATAACACTGATAACAATGATAACACTGATAACAATGATAACACTGATAACAATGATAACAATGATAACACTGATAACAATGATAACACTGATAACAATGATAACAATGATAACAATGATAACACTGATAACACTGATAACACTGATAACAATGATAACACTGATAACACTGATAACAATGATAACACTATATAAATAAAACACTATTATGGATATACTACTCCTCTTTAATTTAAGCAACATTTCAATTTGCATACTATATTTACAATGTAGATCAACTAATCAACAATCTGAAATGTAAAACGTAAACTCGAATTCCCAACAACATATTAGTGAAACATTATTTGCAGCTAATGAACTTTGAATAATATCTCACCATTAATGGAAATTTCAGCCAATGGAACGTCAGCCCCGCAGTCATCAATAAGACAGAAATATACACTAGTAGCTTTAATCTGAAATATATTATATCGTTATTATTATCTGAGATTCCTCAATCATCTTTACTTTCTTTATATCTCAGTTTTCTCATTTTTCTCATAAGTTTTAAGTCCAATATTGGACTTGAAGATTGTTTTGAATCAGGCATTGGCAGATTATGATGAGCTCTTGTCAATTAGCTAATAGTTAAGTCCTACATCGAAAATTGACCTCCATATAAAAAAGATGTCCTCATGAGGATTGTGTATCTGAAGTATGTGTCTGTATCTCTTGTCAATTACTAGATTTTGTCAAACACTTAAGAATTAAACGTTGATATCAATAGCATAATTAGTGTGTTAACACAGTTGATCATACCACAAACATATATAACTGATTTCAACATTTATTCAGTTTATCACCAGATCAATTTCAGCACAGGTCCTTCAGAAAAAAAACATTTACATCATGGCTAAAATAATTTAAAATATTTTCCTTACCTCTACACCAGTTAAGGCAAAGTCAGAATTTTTCTCTTTCTTGGAGATGATTTTGGCGTGTTTGGTAACCAC